AACAAATAATTTATATAATATAAGAAAGATGCCGCTATGGTAGTCTTTACAATTTATGAGTGAGAAAAAAAAATGTAAGATTTTGTATTATGTTACTTGTGTACATAATATATTCACTATGATTTAATGATTTAAATTATTTTAATATCATGTAATGACTAACAATTTGTATGTATATTTAATATTTTTATATATCTATAGCTATAGCTATATCTATATATATATAATTCAGGTTTAGAGTTGCTTGGATTGTTTGATGCCTTTATCCAAATTCGTCCAAATTTAATTCGGACTTTTAAAATTTTACCCAAAACCGTATCAAATTCAAAAATATCTTGTCCAAAACCTTAAAAAATTTAGACTGAGCTCGAGTTGCTTGGATTGAATCTGCCCAAATTACACTCCTAGTTTGTATAAAATTGACATAAAGGGCCAGATGCTAGACTTTGAGGTATTTTAGGAAGTAGGTTAAAAGCCAACTTTTTAGTTTTTTTTTTTTTTTTTTTTTTTTTTTTTTTTTTTTTTTTTGTTTTTTTTTAAAAGACTAAAAAAAAAAATGTAAAAAAATGATATGACTTTAAAAAGTCAAAAAATTTTAAAAATTGACTTTTAATCAACTTGCCAAAATAGATCTTTGTATTGGTTGGATGACTTGGAAAAAATTATCTCTCTCTTTGTCCATCCAAAGTTGGTTGGTCTCCCATCTCTCTAGAATTTCAGTCTCAAAGGTGTCGTTTGGTAACACTTACGTTTTCAGTTTTCTGTTTATATTTATAAAAATTTTAAAAACTCAAAGAAAAACTTGTTTGGTAAATTTTTGATTTATAAATCAGTGGTCTCAGTTTATAAATTTGGCCAAAAAATGTAAACTCAAAAAATGTGTTTCCGTTTTGAGTTTTGAGTTTTTTTTTTTTAGCTACCCAACACTAGCCACCACCCGCCACCATTTTCCACCACCGTCATCCACCACCACCACCCACCCCCACAACCACCTACCGCCACCACTCACCACTCACCACCTACCTGCCACTACACCCACCTGCCACCCACCCCGCCATCACCACCACCACCCACCAGCCACCCACTCGCCATCACCACCACCACTACCACCACCCACCACCCACCTGCCATCCACCTACCATCACCCACCACCGCCACTACCATCCACCGCCCGCCACCACCACTCACCACCCACCTGCCACCATCATCCACTACCACTACCACCACCTACTCGCTACCACCACCACCTGCCACCGTCATCCACCTACCTACCACAACCACCACCCACTCGCTACCACCCATCACCCGCCACCGTCACCCACCCACCCACCATCACCACCCACCACCCATCCGCCACCACCCACCACCATCCGCCACCCCCATCCGCCACCCACCTGCCACCACCCCCCACTCGCACCCACCTACCCCCCGCCACCGTCACCCACCTACCCACCACCACCACCACCACCCACCACCACCCGTCATCCGCCACCCACCTGCCACCACCACCCATCACCCGCCACCCGCCACCACCACTACCACCCACTCGCTACCACCCACCACCCGCCACCGTCACCCACCCACCTACCACTACCCGCTACCCACCACTTACTGTCACCACTTTCCACCACCATCTTCTGCCGCCACTTGCCACCACTTGCCATTTCTCACTCTTTTTATATTTTTAATTCTTTTTTAAACATTTTGTCAATTACCAAACGTGTTTGTAGTTTATGTTTTTCTAAAAATAAACCAAAATCAGTTTATAAAATTTTTGTAAATATAAATTGAAAACGTAAACGTTACCAACAGACCCAATGTTCCATTTGCTCTTGCTTTCTAATACTAACTCCAACTTTTTCTTGATTGGCCTCGTTTAGAAATAGGCCTTTTTAATAATTTTTTAGTTAAAATATAATGTAAAAAAAAACTAATATGTTTGGGATAACTTTTTGATTTTTTATGAAAAGATGTATAAAAAGTAAAGAGAAAATGAAATCTTTAACTTTTTAGTATAGGTTATTGACTTTTTGATTTTTTTAATAATTTTTTTACTTTTAGACTAAAAATTGATATTGCCAAACAAGGACTTGGAAATTTTTTTATCTCTCTTTGTCCATCCAAAGTTGGTTGGTCTCCCATCTCTCGAGCAATTTCAGTCTCAAAATGTTCTATTTGCTCTTGCTTTCTAATACTAACTCCAACTTTTTCTTGACTTAGGCCTCGTTTGGCAATATCACTTTTTAACTTAAAAGTCAAAAAGTCACTAAAAAAATAACTTATACCAAAAAGTCAAATATTTATTTTTCTCTCTACTTTTTGCACATATTTTCATAAAAAATCAAAAGGTTATCCCAAATATATTAATTTTTTTACATCATATTTTAACCAAAAAATCAAAAAATTATTAAAAAAAATCTATTCCCAAACGAGTATAGTTGGACGACTTCGAAATTTTTTATCTCTCTCTATGTCCGTCGAAAGTTGGTTGGTCTCCCATCTCTCTAGCAATTTCTGTCTCAAAATGTTCCATTTGCTCTTGCTTTTGTAATACTAACTCCAACTTTTCTTCACTTATTATAGTTGGATGACTTGGAAAATTTATCTCTCTCTCTGTCCATCCAAAGTTGGTTGGTCTCCCATCTCTCTAGCAATTTCAGTCTCAAAATGTTCCATTTGCTCTTGCTTTCTAATATTTACTACAACTTTTTCTTGACTTATTATGACCAATCTTGAGTTGCTTTGGGACCACTACAATTAACGCGTAAAATATATTTAGATAAATTATTAATTTTTTGATAACAAGTGCGATTATCAATTTTCAAATAAAATGAATAATAAATCATAAAACTCACTTTTTTCTAATTGACTAATAAATCGTAAAACTCACTTTATTTTATATAAATTTAATATAATATATTTGTACATATAAAATGATATATATAGTTCTTAAAATGAAAAAGTAACTATTTATATATATAATGTTAAATATATGAAAATGTTATGGCGTGCAACCCACACCCCTTTAGGGGTACATAACATATGTATCTTACCATAAAATATGTATCTTTACTATAAAATTTTGTAATATCAACCACAAAATGTATAATTTTGCCACAAATTGAGATAACAAAATATTCAAAAAAAATTTAAAAAATATATCAATAAATCTCATTTTCAAGAGTATTATTGAGTCTTATTAAATTTCAATATAGACAATTAAGTCTTATTTTTTCTAGTTTATTCTAAAAATGTTCACTTTTCCCTAATAATTTCTTTTATTCCAATTATACCATTCTTATTAAAATATGAAAAAAAATTATATAAATAATTTTAATTTACTTTAAAAAATATATTTTTTAATTGAAAAAATTGAATAAACTTTTTTTTAAATGAAACCGTACTCAACAATTTGATCAAAAGAACTATTCATCATTTTATGTTGCCTTGTACTATGGAAAATATATTTAGTAAACAATCCAAAAGGTCTATTTTTTTTTATTTATAATATTTCATTAAAGAAATTATGAAAAATAATACCTGGAAAATTCATATGTTTTTCAACTGTATGACAACAAAAAATGATGAATCTTGAGCTTATGCTTTTGTTCAATTACAAAGCAAAGCAATCTCAAAATGTCCTATTACTTGCTTTGTAAATAACTGAGGCAATTACCAACTTTTAATTGATTCATGGCAAATTATATTAGTAGTCTTTATATTTTTTTTCTTACATCCTTTTTGTCTTTGTAATTTCAATGGATTGGATTTTGACATTAATTTATGATTTTGTCCTAATGTAGTCCAATTGATTACAACTTTTAATTCTTTCCAATGAAAAATGGTACATGAGTAACATGTGTCATGTTTTTATAGGCAAAAAATATAAACTTATTCAATTCAATAAGTTAACCTCAATGAACCAAATAATATTTTGGGAAAATTATGTAAATAGTCCCTATACTTTACATGATGTGTCAATTTGGTCCCTATAATTTTAATTTGTTCGATTTTGCCCCTTAATTTAACGAATTGTGTCATTTTAGTCCAATAAATAACGGTTGTTAAGTTAATTTAATGGAAAGTCGAACAATGTGTCAATTTGGTCCTTGTATTTTTCACAATGTGCCAATTTAGTCCCTGTCAAAATCGAGAAAATTGAAACTACAGGGACCAAATTAACACATCGTGTAAAGTAAAGAGACCAAATTGACACATTATTTGACCTTCTGTTAAATTAATTTAACAACCGTTATTTATTGAACTAAAATGACACAATCCGTTAAATTAAGGGGCAAAATCAAGCAAATTGAAACTACAGTGACCAAATTGACATATTGTGTAAAGTACAGGGACTATTTGCATAATTTACCATAATATTTTTCAAAAACCCTAATTAGCATTATCAATCAAACCAAATTAACACAACATATAAAATTAAGAATTTAAAATTGAACTAATTAAAATTACTCAAACTAAAATGAGGTAATGGACAAAATACATTACTAGTGATGTAATTTGCTCGTTGGAATTAAAGACAAAGACTCACTGTAGCCAACTTGCAAGTCATGACTGATGGTGGAGGTCATGATGGATGATGGATAAAATTACATAGTTGTCGTGCATCATGATGGCTGGGCTGGGCTGGGCTGGGCTACCACTACCACTACCTTTACCACCACCATGGAAAGACTTAGCAATGTGTATAAGAATGAGTAATCCATTTATTCCTTCTCCATCATCAAACTACTATCCTTCTTAGTCTCCTCTCCTTTTTATCTCTCTCTCTCTCAATCCTCCTACCTGTAAGAAAACAACATGAGTTGGCTTATGTTCTTTATCAATTTCTTTTACTATTTTTCTTGTCTTCTTCTTCTTCTTCTACTTGTGCACGCCATACCTGCCTTGAGGACCATAGATTTTCACTTCTCCAATTTAAAACAACATTTACCATAACTCCCGATGCCTCTTTATATTGTGAATTTGAATCTCATCCTAAAATGGTGTTTTGGAAAAAGAGTGGTGATTGCTGCTCGTGGGAGGAGGTCACATGCGACTGGTCGAATGGTCATGTGATTGGACTTGACCTCAATTGCAGCCAGCTTCGTGGCACCATCCAAGACAACAACACCCTCTTCCACCTTCGTCACCTTCAAAGCCTTAATCTTGCTTTCAATGACTTCAATTTGTTAAGAATTTCATCTGAGTTTGGCTCGTTTGCAAGTTTGACCCATCTCAACCTCACTTACTCTAATTTTTCAGGCCAAATTCCTTCAAGAATCTCCCATCTATCCAAATTGATTTCCCTTGATCTCTCTTATTTAAATGAATATTATTGTTATTATTACTATGAGGGGAGAATTGAACAACACACTTTTAATATGCTCCTTCGAAAGCTAACCCAATTAAGAGAACTACACCTTGATTGGTTGAATATCTCTTCACCTTTACCTCATGCTTTGCTAAATCTATCTTCTTTGACATCTCTCAACCTTTTTTATTGTCAACTGCGTAGTAAATTCTCAGAAAGCATTTTTCTCTTTCCAATCCTACGAGAGCTCAATGTACAGGGAAATTCGAAACTCACAGGTAAACTTCCATACTTCAATGTGACTAGTTCCCTTCAGTTTCTTGATCTCTCTGATACAAGTTTTTCTGGCCAATTGCCTTAATCAATCAGCAATCTTAAAGCCTTGAATATTTTGCACCTCTATCATAGCAACTTTTCGGGGTCAATTCCAGCCTCTTTTGGGAACCTTACACAAATCACCAAGTTAGGCTTCGGGTTTAACAATTTTAGCAGTCAAATCCCCTCATCATTTTCAAACCATACGAAGCTTACTTACTTGTATCTTTTCAAAAATGATTTGAACAGACAAATACCGGATTCCATTGGCAACATTAGCCAACTTACTTGCTTGGATCTTTCCGGAAACAATTTGAACGGTCAAATGCCAGATTCCCTTGGCAACATGAACCAATTTACTCACTTGGATCTTTCCAGAAATAATTTAAACGGTCAAATACTTGATTCGCTTGGCAACATGAGCCAACTAACTCAACTGCACCTTTCTGATAATCAACTAATTGGTCTCATTCCTTCATAAGCAGTTGAGCTTTCAAAGCTAACTTCTATCATATTGAAAAGTAACATACTCAATGGGACAATTCTGTCTTGGTTGTTTGCTCAACCTTCATTGGTTGATATAGATTTGAGTGACAATAAGTTGCAGGGACCAATTCCAGGACCAGTTTATGAACTCCAGAACCTAACAGTGTTGGTGCTTTCATCAAATAACTTAAGTGGTGTAGTGGAGTTAGATAAGCTTCTAAATCAAAAATATTTGTCCTATCTTAATCTCTCATATACTGGTCTCTCATTGAACATCAACAACAGTGTCAACTCTACCTTGACCACCTTTGACCTTTGATACGATAAGATTAGCTTCTTGCAACTTGAGCAAATTCCCAAACTTCTTGAGAGAACAGGTCGGATAGTGTTCTCTAGACCTTTCAAACAATAAAAATTCATGGTGAAGTTCCAAAATGGATATTCGATGTGGGGAAAGATTCATTGTATGATTTAAATCTTCCTCATAATTTCCTCACCAATTTAGAGCGTCTTCCATGGAAGAATTTGAGATCTATTGACCTGCACTCCAACTTGCTCCAAGGATCACTCCCCGTTCCACCTAACACCATATATTTTTTCTCTATCTCAGACAATAAATTGACCGGAGAAATCCCTCCATTGATTTGCGGTCTTTCACTTGCAGTTCTTGATGTGTCTAATAACAGTTTGAGTGGATTGATTCCACAATATTTGGGAAACTTCAGCAATTTTCTCTCGGTGCTGAATTTAGGGAACAATAGATTTCGTGGTACCTTTACTACGACATTTACAAAAGGCAACATGCTAAGGAATCTTAACTTAAATGGCAACCAAATTGAAGGACAAGTTCGACAATCTTTGCTCAATTGTAGACACTTAGAAGTTCTAGATCTTGGAAAAAACAAGATAAATGATACATTCCCCCACTGATTGGGAACTCTTCGAAACTTTGCAGGTTCTTGTCTTGAGATTTAATAGCTTTCATGGTCACATAGGCACCTCCAAGACCAAGGCCAAACATCCTTTCCCTAAGTTGAGAATTATCGACATATCTTGCAATGATTTCACTAGCCTTTTGCCAACAAATTATATCAAACAATTTGGAACAATGATGAATGTTGATGCACATGAAATGAAATTGCAATACATTGGTGACTACTATTATCAAGATTTTGTGGTGGTAATTGTCACGCCCCACTTTTTATTACTCGAAGTATTACCAATTTCATTTACTTAATTCTATTTCAGAGATAACATGCGGAAATAAACTCGTATATTCAACTCGTAGAAGTGAATAACATTGCTCTCATTCGTATGCAAATAAATACAACATGAGTATAATAAATGAATTGCCCTTGGGCTTACATCATTAACAAATCAAGAAGAAGGGTACAATCCTTTTACACTATGGCATTCCGCCAATACAAGGGAGGCCCCGTGGCCAACACATAAGAAGATCCAAATCTTGTAGCACATTCAGCTCAACACCTGAAATAAAAATTCAACAACGTGGGATGAACATATAGTCCAGTAGGGATCTCAACATGGCCCTCAACAATAACAACGTACGGATAGCTATGATGATGAATACCCAATCTCATATTAGAATAGTAATGTGACAGTTTATACAAAATATACATAAGTATGAACTTTTCTTGAAAACAACCATTTCAATCAACGCCACAGGCGATTCATCTTCCCTTTTCTTTTCATTAATCCCCGTTCCCAATCTTTCATAACATTAACAATACCTTAGGAAATAATTTCACTAAGCCCACTACTCTCTTCCATTTTCCATACATACACATATATGCCTTTTCAAAATATATATTTCTTTAAAAATATCCGTTCTCCTTCACACTTTCCAAAAGACAGAAATGACATTTTGGCTTCTTCTCGATACAATCAAATCTATACATGCACCATTATAAAAAGGGAGATAACAACTCACCAACATGCATAAGATAAACCAAAGAGGCAACTCGGCCCTCCGAAACCGTAATCAACACAACCCATGATATTCCCAGACACACTGAAACATCAACAACAAACCTTTGCTCTACTAGCTATGTGTGTAGTAAGCCAAAGATACACCTCTCATAACAACATGCCAGTTTACCAGGCGCTAGCTGGAAGGGTACGGTGCCTTCGATTCTTAGCGCAGTCAGTTCTCCAGGCGCTAGCTGGAAGGTCACGGTACCCTTGATTTTTAGTGCAAGGTATAACACCACCAACCCAACACAACAAGGCATAATCAACATGTATAACACATATACACACACCATCAAGATACAAGCAATGTGTTGAAGTATATGAACACATAACTACCTCCTCCCGAGCAAGCATACATATATAATGTATCTCAACACTTCATCACATACGATGTTCCATCAGCAATGGTATAATGCATACACGACAATTCAAGACAACCGTGTCATCCTCCACCGATGACCAAGGACAAAACCTCTAGATGCAAATATTTAGTACATCTATTAAAGACTCAACTACTATGAGACCACAAACCCAACAACAACATTAATATGGTAGTTAAAGATACAATCCCTCACATGTGTGTGTTCAACACCCAAGAAACAACAATCCAATTTTCATTCGTATTTCAAAAAAATACTTTTCCCATTTTACAAAACAAGTTCCGTTTCCTTTTATTTTCACAAAACCAACTCCGTTCCTTTTATTGTCGCAAAACCAAACCCGTGGATAATACAGCCATAACTCATATTAGTCCATTATCTTCATTTCAAACCCATTCCACAACCATGGTTAATCCCTTAGGCATTAACACCTTCACCCAACTCACAATAATAATAGAGATTTCCAACATAGGTTAACTACCATCCATTTTAATTTACCAATCAAAATATAATTTAGGGCTTTTTCTTCTATCAACTACAACATGCTAATTTACACTCCAATTAGCCCAAAACAACCATCAATGATAACATAACCATTTTTCAAACACCCAACCCTAGGTTCCTTCTCATGATTTCAAACAAATCCAACATGGATATGATTTTCATGCAATACGAAATTACCACATGTCTATCTATAGACGAAGTATTGAAAAAGAACAAGGAAATCCCTACATCAAATGTAGAACCCAAGGAGAAGAAGAGCTAAACTCGGAAGTGCTCCAAACACCAAATTTCTCGGATCAAAATGTAGCCCTCAATGATCAACACACTTCTTACAAAGGCTCAAGGTGAGGAAAACACTCCTACTAGATCAAACCCTAGAGAGAAGTTAGGTTTTAGACTGAGGAGCTCTCAAAAATCAATTTTGGGAAAGTAAGAGAGAGAAAGGAAATGTAAAAAGTGATTTAAAATAGCCTAGCTGCCAACTGATATACGACTCTCCCGCTCGAGCGGAGAACACAACGCTTGAGCGTCAAGGACAAAAAACTAGGTACGCTCGAGCGCAAGAAGGCCCGCTCGAGCTCCAAGACACCGGAATAAAGTACATTCGCTCGAGCGCGAAAACCAGTCCGCTCGAGCATAGATTTCTCCCTCCTAGAACTTACACCAAAAAGTACTACCCGCTCGAGTGCCAGAGTACCCGCTCGAGCGCGACTGCTCGAGCGTAAAGAAATCCGCTCGAGCGTAGAAAACACATCTGCAGAAGTTTTGCAGAGGCACGAAATACTGGAAGTGTGTAAACCTCGCTCGAGCGCAAGAAGACCCGCTCGAACGGACCATTCAAAAACTAGGCAACAACCATGGGAGCTAAAGCTCTACCAACCTGTAACAACCAAGCCCAACACATTCTAAAATTCAAACAAGCGAGTTTAAAGGTTGACAACACGATAGGTACAACTACCAACTCCACGGAACCGCGTCCGGAAAACAACAGAACAGTAAAGGGATAACCGGGATAGCTATAACCTCCCCCCTTAAAGAATTTTGTCCCCGAAATTAAGGATATGCCAAAACACAAGGCCAACTGATAGCACAACACCAACACCCGAGTACTAGGAGAGGAACTATTCTCCCTACAAACCTTCGATTCACTCTTACCAAGGAAGAGACTAACCAAGGGAACATGTTCGAAACGACAACACTGTAGGCACAAAAGCTACAACAAAACCAACCCTTCCGAAACAGTTTACTAACATCTGACCAGCGTTTCAAGCTAAGTCACTACTCAACAACCATTATTTCCAGTAAAAGGATACTCAAGGAAAATCTTTTACATTAATATAAGGAAAACATTTTCTTGCTCATGAGACATTTCAAAATAAACCTTGCATTTTCAATGCAAAACTCAAAAGTTTTGTAAACATTTTTCACAAATACGGTGTCATCCAAAAACACATAACCATCCACTGTTTATTTGCCAAAAAGATTCATTTGGAATTCCTCAAAACCCTTGAATTAAATCAATTTCTCAACAACGCCTTTAGGTGGCCCAACCACTAGAAAAGTTTTGTTTTCCATTTCTTTCCAAAATAATACCATCAACACCCATCACTCACACAGTGATGCCACAACCAACACGGAACACAACCTTTCTATAATGATAGTTAATAGAAATAACACTTGTGCTATCAACACACAAGGCATAAGAAATTCATGATTTTGCAATTTCGTTCCACCTTCCTTCACTTAATCAATTTAAAATCATAAACATGGCTCAAAACCTGGCCAACAATTTAAAAGAGATCACATCTCACATCAATAATGCCTCCTTAATACACAAATGATACACATTTTGGTGCTGTATCAATATAACATAGAAACACTTCTATACTTCACAATTGATAATGATATACATTTTAGTGCTATATCAAATCAAACAAATCCGGTTTAGAGGTCCATCCCCCATCATCCAATAAACCGTGGAGTACATCCCCCATCTCCTCCCACACAATACAATGTATATAAGCAATCATCATACACAAATTCAATCAATCAATACAAAACTTGATGTATTATTCCAACCGTTAGATTCAATGACATAACATGTTCGATTAGTTTCAGTTTTCCCTAATCAACATACAAGTCTACAATGAATGAGACTAACCTCAAGGTGACAAATGTCAACCCAAAACCCAATACCAAAAGCTAACTAATCAACTCAATAAACCACCACTCCCAGTAAACCACACACTGAAGTGCCACTAACCCCAAACACGGAGTTCCCCACACAAACCCGCAAATTTTGGAATCTCACTGGATCTCCTAAAATCAAACTACATCAACACTGTGTCTAAGGGAATTACTATCTCCCCCCTCCATGGCTACATAGCAAGCCTACTCATCTCCTCGACCGAAAACTGACTCGATAAACCTCAATTACAACAACCCAATCACGAAGGACAATTTGACCGACGCTATTCTCGTCACTCTAGAACACAACCTGTTCTTCTTCTTAAGAATGCTGCCAGGATCCACTCACAGACCATACCCAACAACTGATAGCCAATCACAATATGAACACTACCCCCCTATACAACCGATGGGGTCACCACGGACTCCTTAACTAGGAAAGCCCAGAACACAAATCAACATACAGGTACCAAGCAAGCAACAACATCAGGATCATTGATCCCTTTAACAACTCCTCAATAGGAAAAAGAGGATTCGAGATTCCATACATACTCCCCATTACATGAGGGTTAAACAAACAACAATATGCATACATAAGCGATACATAAACATGGTGCCGCAGCATCCATCAGTACACCGATCAACAACAAAATGATTCATATAATACACCACCGGCCAATAACACAAAAATCCCCCTCCAGGGTAATACCATAGGACTAACTAATAAGTCGCCCCTCGCGAGGCTCCCGAAGCCTGGCCTGTCTGTTTCTGGTACCGATAGCGTCCTTGACTGGACGGGTACAACTGAGTCTGACTGGGTTTTGAAACACCCGAAGAATTTACACGTAAGGGACAAAAACGTCTACCATGGCCCAGCTGACCACAAACAAAACAACCACCAGACCCTCTATTCTGCGACCGGTCTGAAACCTGCACCTCCCCGGACCCCCCAATAGCAGAGTTCGAAACCCCAGGTGAAGAAAGAAATTTGCCCCTGACTGAGCATGTTTCCGCCTCCACCCCTTACTGAGCCTAGAGCGCTTAGGAACCGAAGGACTTACCAAGATGGTCTCTTCCCTATCCCGACCATCACTCACAACCATGGCCTCCACATGGGCCGCTGCCTCGACTAAATTATAATAATCCTTCCAAAAGGATCCAGCTACCTTCTCCCGAATATCAAAACACAACCGCCTTTCAAACTCATAACAACGACGCTCCTCTATTGCCACCAACTCTGGAGCAAACCTCGACAAACTAGTAAACCGCATCTCAAACTGTGCCACAGGAGTATCATCCTGACGCATCTCCAAAAACTGATCCCTCAACCTTTCCCGTGCAGAAGGAGGGAAATACTTGGCCCAAAAGGCCTCGGTAAAAGCAACCCACGTGCTACCTACGGTATTCTTAGCATACTTCCACCAATAACTCGCATCGCCCTTCAATTGAAAAGTCGCCAAAGAAACCCTCAACTCCTCCTCTTTGACTCTGAGCATATCAAGAGTCTTGGTAATCTGCTCCAACCAACTCTCTACCTCCAACGGTTTAGCCTCCCCCACAAACTCTGGTGGGCCGGAGCGGAAAAACTCTTTAGTAAGCTTGAGAGCATGCCCGCTGCCGCCCTCAGTACGAGCTAGGGCGTCTTGCACTGCGCTCACAATCTCACGTGCGATATCCTCACTGACAGCCGATACTGCAACGGCGGGTGCTAAAGGGACTGCTGTGCCCCTACCGATACTCCTACTACTCAACCGTCCTCTACTTCCTCGTGTAGACATCCTATAAAACACAAAAGCAAACACCACGCTTAGTGGACAACACAATAGCCTTCTCCGAGGCACACACCACTACTATTAAGTCACAAGACTCACTAGTCACAAAATATACATCTCTATTGCATATAATCATCTAAACATGTAAACACATAATCGAATCAAGTCCACAAAGATAGCCACTCATCCCGGAACTCTCAAGGAATTCCTATCAGAAACCACGTTGATCAGGCGTGTTTCCGAAAGGACCTCAAAGCAAGTTTACCGGCTATGAATACTATCCGAGAAACTGAATCCCATGCTCACATAAATGCAACACACAAGTCCTAACTTTCATGATATCTATATGCAACATCCTCACTATACGTAGTAAACCCACTGTGGTAAAAACCACTTCCCACGAGCCCAAAGTATTCAAACCCAGCTAGCTCTGATACCAAGTTGTCACGCCCCACTTTTTATTACTCGAAGTATTACAATTTCATTTACTTAATTCAATTTCAGAGATAACATGCGGAAATAAACTCGTATATTCAACTTGTAGAAGTGAATAACATTGCTCTCATTCGTATGCAAATAAATACAACATGAGTATAATAAATGAATTGCCCTTGGGCTTACATCATTAACAAATCAAGAAGAAGGGTACAACCCTTTTACACATATGGCATTCCGCCAATACAAGGGAGGCCCCGTGGCCAATAAATAAGAAGATCCAAATCTTGCAGCACATTCAGCTCAACACCTGAAAAAAAAATTCAACAACGTGGGATGAACATATAGTCCAGTAGGGATCTCAACATGGCCCTCAACAATAACAACGTATAGATAGCTATGATCATGAATACCCAATCTCATATTAGAATAGTAATGGGACAGTTTATACAAAATATACATAAGTATGAACTTTTCTTGAAAACAACCATTTCAATCAACGCCATAGGCGATTCATCTTCCCTTTTCTTTTCATTAATCTCCGTTCCCAATCTTTCATAACATTAACAATACCTTAGGAAATAATTTCACTAAGCCCACTACTCTCTTCCATTTTCCAAACATACACAGATATGCCTTTTCAAAATATATATTTCTTTAAAAATATCCGTTCTCCTTTACACTTTCCAAAAGACAGAAATGACATTTTGGCTTCTTCTCGATACAATCAAATCTATACATGCACCGTTATAAAAAGGGAGATAACAACTCGCCAACATGCATAAGATAAACCAAAGAGGCAACTCGACCCTCCGAAACCGTAATCAACACAACCCATGATATTCCCAGACACACTGAAATATCAACAACAAAACTTTGCTCTACTAGCTATGTGCGTAGTAAGCCCAAGACACACCTCTCATAACAACATGCCAGTTTACCAGGCGCTAGCTGGAAGGGTATGGTGCCTTCGATTCTGAGCGCAGTCAGTTCTCCAAGCGCTAGCTGGAAGGTCACGGTACCTCTGATTTTTAGCGTAAGGTATAACACCACCAACCCAACACAACAGGGCATAATCAACATGTATAACACATATACACACACCATCAAGATACAAGCAATGTGTTAAAGTATATGAACACATAACTACCTCCTCCCGAGCAAGCATACATATATAATGTATCTCAACACTTCATCACATACGATGTTCCATCAACAATGGTATAATGCATACACGACAATTCAAGACAACCGTGTCATCCTCCACCGATGACCAAGGACAAAACCTCTAGATACGAATATTTAGTACATCTATTAAAGACTCAACTACTATGAGACCACAAACCCAACAACAACATTAACATGGTAGTTAAAGATACAATCCCTCACATGTGTGTGTTCAACACTCAAGAAACAACAATCCAATTTTCATTCGTATTTCAAAAAAATACTTTTCCCATTTTACAGAACAAGTTCCGTTTCCTTTTATTTTCACAAAACCAACTCCGTTCCTTTTATTGTCGCAAAACCAAACCCGTGGATAATACAGCCATAACTCATATTAGTCCATTATCTTCATTTCAAACCCATTCCACAACCATGGTTAATCCCTTAGGCATTAACACCTTCACCCAACTCACAATAATAATAGAGATTTCCAACATAGGTTAACTACCATCCATTTTAATTTACCAATCAAAATATAATTTAGGGCTTTTTCTTCTATCAACTACAACATGCTAATTTACACTCCAATTAGCCCAAAACAACCATCAATGATAACATAATCATTTTTCAAACACCCAACCCTAGGTTCCTTCTCATGATTTCAAACAAATCCAACATGGATATGATTTTCATGCAATACGAAATTACCACATGTCTATCTATAGACGAAGTATTGAAAAAGAACAAGGAAATCCCTACCTCAAATGTAGAACCCAAGGAGAAGAAGAGCTAAACTCGGAAGTGCTCCAAACACCAAATTTCTCGGATCAAAATGTAGCCCTCAATGATCAACACACTTCTTACAAAGGCTTAAGGTGAGGAAAACACTCCTACTAGATCAAACCCTAGAGAGAAGTTAGGTTTTAGAGTGAGGAGCTCTCAAAAATCGATTTTGGGAAAGTAAGAGAGAGAAAGGAAATGTAAAAAGTGATTTAAAATAGCCTAGCTGCCAACTGATATACGACTCTCCCGCTCGAGCGGAGAACACAACGCTCGAGCGTCAAGGACAAAAAACTAGGTACGCTCGAGCGCAAGAAGGCCCGCTCGAGTTCCAAGACACCGGAATAAAGTACATCCGCTCGAGCGCGAAAACCAGTCCGCTCGAGCGTAGATTTCTCCCTCCCAGAACTTACACCAAAAAGTACTACTCGCTCGAGCGTCAGAGTACCCGCTCGAGCGTAAAGAAATTTGCTTGAGCGTAGAAAACACATCTGCTGAAGTTTTGCAGAGGCACGAAATACTGGAAGTGTGTAAACCCCGCTTGAGCGCAAGAAGACTCGCTTGAGCGGACCATTCAAAAACTGAGCAACAACCATGGGAGCTAAAGCTCTACCAACCTGTAACAACCAAGCCCAACACATTCTAAAATTCAAACAAGCGAGTTTAAAGGTTGACAACACGATAGGTACAACTACCAACTCCATGGAATTGCGTCCGGAAAACAATAGAACAGTAAAGGGATAACCGGGATCGCTATAGTAATGATGAAAGGACATGAAATTAAATATTCAAGAATCTTAACAGTCTTCTCAATCATTGATTTTTCAAGAAATAAATTCCAATGAGAGATTCTGAAATCCATTGGGAGGCTTAATTCACTTCTGGGTCTTAACTTATTCCATAACAACCTTGAAGGCCGCATTCCAACTTCAGTTGGAAATTTGAAAAACCTTGAATCATTGGATCTATCCTCAAAAAAGTTTGTTGGGGAGATTCCTCAGCAATTGAAAAGTTTGATGTTTCTTGAGGTACTAAACCTTTCGGACAACCAAGTAGCAGGACCAATTCCTCAAGGGAGCCAGTTTAATACATTTGGAAATGATTCATACAGTGGGAACTTGGCCTTATGTGGATTCCCTTTATCAAAGAAATGTAAGGAACTACAACCACTGCCACCTCCACCAACACTACAACAAGATGAGAATTCAGACAACTCAAGCGGATTTAACTAGCAAGTTATAGTGTTGGGGTATGGATGCGGATTTGTATTTGGAATGATTGTTGGATATCTTATGTTTGTAACCAAAAGACCAGAATGGCTTATGAAAACTGTCGAAGGAAAACTTAATAAGAAGGTGAAAAGGTCTAAGAAGGGTGCCCACTGATGCAGTAAAAAGAAGAAATCAACAAAGTCAAATGGCATTATTAGGTAATTGGAATTTATCTTTGCAACATTACTTTGTTGGATTATCTTTTATGGTTTCTATCTATAAGCTATATTTGAGTTACTAATTTATTTTTATTTATTTATTTATTTATTTATTTTGAAAACTAGATATTTTCCTTTAAGTTGCACAATAAAGAAATGGAGTCCACTTGAAGGGGTGTCTCACCTAGCTGTTGCATTTGAGTGTATGTGCATCCAAATTGCTATACAAGATCATTTCAAAAGCTTTACTTTTGTTGTTGTATCCAAATCTAAAGCTTTGTTAAGTTGTTTAGTTTTCTTAAAGCACAAAGTTAAATAAGAGTTGCATGTCATGACTATTTCGTGTTTCTTTTCTCGCATCGTGTAGAAACCTTTGGAGATTTTCACTTTTGTGTGTAGTTGCTTTTAAATTGGATTTCAGTCATAGAAGATAAGGCCTTGCCAAGTTTTTAACTTTGAAATGCAATCTTACAAGTTAAAACTCCAACCATTCACCTTGTTAGATTCTTAATCATTTTGAGTAATAGAAATGTTGGCTAGTAGATAGAAAATTCGCATTAAAAATAATGTTTATATGTTACTCTTTGAGTAGCTCTTTTACTCGTTGCTATTGTAGTCTAGCGAGCTTTTAACATCTTTTCTCTTCCATACCTTTCTATCAATGAATAGAATTGATGATAATTAGTTTGTTTTTTTTCCTTTTTTCATCTTCAATGGTAATTGGGGGATCAAACTAGAGATATTTTTGCTAGCACTTGTTCAAAGATGTGGGAATTTTGTGATTAATTCTAGTATGAAAATGGTGATATAGAGAGTATTAATTGAAAAGGTCGCTCATAGGCAAGAATGTTGTTGAGATTGTGAAGTCAGACCAATTAGTACTATACACTTCATTACAGGATCACAGATCCAACTAATGTGACCATGTAATTTTAATGCATCATTTTTTATTTATTTATTTATTTTTTGGCTTTCTTTTGTCTAGTTGTTTATAGCTAAAAATGGTAGTTTGGTGTATTGAAATTGTTATTGTGTTCTAAGAAGTTAATTCTATCTTTTTATATTGTTGTTGTTTCTCTGCCAACTCTCCCAAATACAATGAACTATTGATTGGTTTAGGCTTAAATAGCAATATTTTTTTGTTATTTATGAAATAAGAAATTAACCTCGTTTAGCAATGTCTTAAAACAAAATCTACTCATATGAAGAAAAACGATAATACTTTTTTTCACATTCAAAAGCCAAAAAATTGATTAATTGATGTTTCAATATAAGTTTTTCTTTTTTACTAAGCTCAAAATTTAGGTTTTTGATTAGCTTCCAAAGGTAATAAAAAAGAAAAGAAAAATTACAATGATTTTCTCTAAAATTTAAAGAAAATACAACAAATATCACAATTCAAGCATAATTATACAACTCTCTCTTCTAACAAAGCTAACGAATAAAAATTAATACAGTCAATGTAAAAGAGATGATAATATCATTTTTCCATTTAAGCATGTCCAATTCTTAACTTCCATTGTTTTAATCAAATTAAAATTTGAAGACAAAAAAAAACTCAAAAACTATCTCTAATCATTTAATCAAATGTTTATCAAATTCAAGAAATTTCTGTCCATCAAATTATTATCAAATCTTATGTCAAATTTAAATTTAATGAAAATTTAAAATGATAAAACATTGGAGACCATTTTTTTCATCAAAATTGGTGAAAAGGAAATTTAGAATAAAAAGAAAAGTTTTAAAAATATTTTCTTTTAATGAAAATATTGATTAATTCATAATCAAAATTTTAAAGGAATCAAATTTAAAACCAAATTAAATAAATAAATAAAAAGTATTTGTATCATGTTCATATCCACCCATACTTTCTACAAATTGTTTACAGAGAGTTGTCAGGGAAGTAGTAGCAACCGAAGCCTCAATTCTCAATCCATCAACATTCTTTCCTCGCTCGAGCCCTCAAATTCGAATAACCACTAAGAATTTCCCTTGAAATCTACGTTTCTCTTCTCAAATTCCCACCAATTGCGTTGTTCCATACACTCTCTGCGACTTTTGTAGCTAAATATAATGAAATTCATGGTGTTAAAGACTCGCTTACTGTTGGCTTTCGAAGGTTAATAATGTAAATTTAAGCCTACGAGCAACGATCAATCAGTCCTTACAGAATGTTTATTGCCAACCAATTACTAGACAATTGTGTTGTAGTTCTTTTAGCCTCAATGAAGAGGACTTTCACTGGTGGCTTGTTTAGGAAAATTTAGTAAATAACAAGAAGTGAAGAACAATTTCAAAATTCGATTTTCATTAAGTAAATAAGAACTTACATTGAATTGACCCAACCTCGTAGAGGTTAACAGTCACGAACTACTTGAAACAACTCCTAGGAAATGAAATGCAGTATAGGAATTAAAGTACTGGAAATGTAAAAACTGGAAATAAAATGAAGTAAATAAAACTGGTTTCTGGATCTGAGTCTGGGTCCTTCATTCTGGGGCCTTCTCTGCTATTTATACTTCCCAATGGTAACCGTCAAAGTGGGCTTCCAACCATCGAAGCGTCTTTCCATGATTGCTGAACATGCTCTCTCACAGTCAGTTCCACTACGCCACTCTTACAATTAGGCTTCCCTCCTGATTTTGAATTTAAATTTATGAGTAACTGTTAGGCCATGTCATCTTGTGTCTCTCGACTGTTCCAGTGCTACTCAGATCCATTATTACCAATACGAACTGCCACGTGTCTGATTTCGACTGGAGACTTGTATTAACTCCCCACATTGCCCTCATCATGCCATGTGTTAAGCTGTGATTGGCATATAAATACGTAGCCAACATTACCCCCCCGCACTAATATACCAAATACTTGGGGATATTAGTGGATTCAATGCATTTTGCCCATGTCCTAGGACGTGCATGGCCTTTGCATCTTCTTAGAAATGTAACCGTCTTCCATCAATGAAGCACTTGAACTGCATTAAATTTATTCTTGTGCTTGAACATTTTCCCATTATCTGAGTATTTGAAGGGGCTGATATAGCTCCCATAGCCAAACAAACCCTTTCTTACATCGATCATGCATACGAAGGGTTGTTAGATAATGATGTCTGTCCTCGAAAGAATCTTCATGCATTTATTAGCCACACTTATCCGCCTCCATTTATACAAGTTATGGAAGCTTTTGCAAATTATCAACCTTCGGACCAAGAATTTACTAATTACAATTCTCTGGACCAAGAACTTGCAAAAATGGATATTGGAAGTTCCTCCTCTGCCCCAAAACTTTCAACATGGGATGAAGTTGCTTCTCCAATTTCTGGGAATGGATCAGTGTCAATACCCATAGCCTTTTATGCCTTGGTTGGAAATTCCAACCTTCCCTTCCGGATTTGTTCTTGGATCCTGTCTCTAAAAACCATACAATTTTTAGTTGAATGAGACCAAGAATTGTGCCATTTACAGTACATCTTTCCTTTAAGTTCTTCAAAAGTTAGGATTTTAACTCCCTTAGGTAACTTTAAAAAATGTGCTGCAAGCAAATGATAAAATATGTCATCTGCTTTTGTTATATCAAAAAAATACTTCCTATGTAGGTCTTTCTTTTTAAACTGCTGGTCAATCGTTGTATCCTTTTGAATTAGTGCTTCACAGGTCATGGGGTCTTTCCTTATGATCTCCGCTGCATCAATTTCGAAGTTAGGGTCCCTATAGTAGGTCTTATATCATGCATTACTTCGATCTTGTTCTTCTTCAAGTAACGTCTCATATCTGGATACTTTATAGGTTAATTCTACCAAGTCTCGAAACTTAGTTGAATCAAACTTCTTTCGAAGCCTAAACTCCAAACCATTTTGAGCCAATCTCACAAATTCAGGCTCTGGTAGAATGACCCTACACTTGTTTCATGCTCTTTTGAATCTGGCAATGAATTGAGCAGCCTTCTCATCAGGCCTTTGGCTCAGCCTTGCCAAATCTTCCATGGAAACCTTAGGCTCTGTTTGGAAGAATTGGGCATGAAATGCCTCTTCCATTTGCTGCTAAGTTTGGATAGAGCCAGGTGTAAGGTTAATATACCATACAAAGACTGCCCCAGTTAAGAACTTGGAAAAAGTCTCAATTTCATATAATCATTATTGCTGAATTCACCACATTGGCCTGTAAACCTGGCAATGTGTTCTACTGTTAACTGGTTCCATTTTCATAAAAGAGAGCAAAATCTGATATTCTAAACCCCCTTGGATATTCATGTACCATATCCATCCATTTTGGGTATGAATTTCTATATACTGGAGTCTGGACCCCCTGAGCCATGGGTCTACACTTCTCCCTGACAATATCAGCAATTTGGTCCCTAGGAACCATATTATGTGCTTGTTGGACCACTTCTAGAGGAGCAAACATAGGGTTTGGAGGAACTCTATGTGCTTGAGGTCCTCTTGATCCATAGAGAGGTATATTTAGGACTGGTTGTCCCTGTGGTACTGGTTGCTGTTGAGGATATGATTGACCTCTCTGGGTCTGTCCTGCGAAAGGACCTACGAAAGGTGCTGCAGGAGCAGAAACGGGTGTTGTTTCTCTCCCAACTGTGGGAAACCCTTCCAACCCCCCAGGTGTAAATTCGAACAGAGGGTTAGTGAACCCCTTTGTGCCAAGCATGGTTTCAAACACGGGATTTGGAAACATTCTCATACCATTTTCTTGTGTTGGCCCAGATCCACCAATTTGTATGGATTCACTGTTAGATATTGGTATATTTTGATTTACCAAAGGCCTCGAAGGAGGCTCATACCATGACTGAGGT